GGCTCAGAGAAGCTCAGTAACTTGCTAAGGTTAATAAACAGAAGAACCAAGGTTTAAACACAAAGCAGTTTAAATCCAGAGTTCTTGCTTTAATGCATTGTTGTGGTTATAGAGTTTCTGATAGGATGAACAAGTTTCAATCTTAGGTCTTTATATCCCTAGTAGCTTCTAACATTTAAGGCAGTTCAGATAGAGAAGGGAGCACCAAATAAAGGATGTTTGGAGGATCCTCCCAGGAGGGGAGATGCATGTCGAAAGTAGACTATGGACTGAACATGTTTGCCACTCAATGCCTCTTTTGCAGACCACAACACCCAAACGGAGAGAGAGAACACAGGGGATTGCCCTGCCACAGAGGCGGGGGGGATGGCGGGATGGGGGTGGGAGGGATATTATCCATGGTGGTGAAAAACGGGCACTGGTGGAGGGATGGGTATCTGATCATTGTATAATTGAAACCCAAGCACAAAAAATTGTAAATCTACAACTGTAAAAAAAATAAAAATTAAAAAATTAAAAAAAAAAAAGGAATAGAAATATTAAAAAAAAAAAAAAAAGAAAGGTGATGTGATCTGGCTCTGATACCCTGTTCTCATCCCTGCTGCCATCACTGGATAGTCATGGAAAAGTTAGTTGTGCTAATGCTTTCAGCTTTGTCTGCTTTTCTGTGCTCATCTGGTCAGTTCCTCACACTTAACCCCAACTCCTTAACTCTGAGATATGTCAAACCATTGTTAACCATAGTTCAGAGTTTGTAGCCTTACTCCAGGCTATGGGTGACAGACATGTGTTGTAGCAAAACTTCTTGATGAGTATGTTGTATGTTCAACTTTGAAAGCTACTATTGTAGTAGGGTATCAGTTAGGTATAGACTACAACTATTTTCCAACTAGCATTGGGAAACTATTTGTGATAATACTCCTAAGTCTCTGCTCCTGGACCAACTCTCTTTATAGATGTAACCAAGGGATAGTAAATTAATGAGCATTTTAATTTTATTCTTTTAACCATGAAGTGACATTATAGTACTATTTTATTTATATTTCAGGCATACAGTATTACTGCTCTATACTCACCACCAAGAGTGCCAGTATCCCTCTTCCTTTGTTACTGCATTTCTGCACCTATTCTCCTGCCCCCTAGTTTTAGGAGCTTGAGTTATATTATCTCATTCTATGGGGGGGGCTTCATTTTAAAAAATTATCTTTTTTTTTTAATTTGCTTACAAGACTGTAAATATCTGAATATTGGGGAGTACCTTACTGATATCATGAACACAACTGAACATTTTAAAAGGCTTTTTCTCAGGCTCTTTGAGTCTTAGTAATTATGCTTTGTAAAATACCTAACCATTTCTTACAATTTTAATTCACTCATGAAATCTTGTTCTCTAAGTGAAAACCTGACCTCTAAGTGAAAGTAACTAAATCAGAAAATATTTTCATTAATTTTGTTTGTTTATTTTGCTGAGCCCAAGGAGTGAACTGCAAGGGCTCATTCATGCAAGGCAGGTGCTTTACCACTGAGTTACACCCCTGGTCCTTTTCAGTTACTTTCAGTGGAAAAACTGTACCATTAATATCTTACTAAGATTCCAAATAATTTCAGATTAAGAACTGTACTACTTGAACAATGTAAACAAATTTGTAGAACCAAATGCTTTGAAAATAAAACCTGGGACAAGTGAAGTAGCTTAGGGGTTGGGGTATTGTGTGTACAAGGATCCATTTTCATTTCTCTATTGCCCAACCCACAATGATCCCCCAAGTGCTACTGGGTATAGCACCGGTGGTCCCTGGCACCACAGGACCCTCGTGGCATTGCTTCTCTGAGCTCAAGCATTAAACCATCCAGCCTGATGGCTGAATATTACCAGGAATGGAATGACCCACACGTTCTCTGAGGCCTGCTTGGTTGACCCAAGCCCCACAAAAAAAGAAATACCTAAGATCTTTAGTAATGGAATATTATTTTACTTCTGGGCTGGAGCGATATAGCACAGCGGGTAGGGTGTTTGCCTTGCACGCAGCCAACCGGGTTCAATTCCTCCATCCTTCTTGGGAGAGCCAGACAAGCTACCAAGAGTATCCTGTCTGCACGGCAGAGCCTGGCAAGCTCCCTGTGGCGTATTCAGTATGCCAAAACAGTAACAAGACTCACAGTAGAGACGTTACTGGTGCCTGCTCGAACAAATCGATGAACAACGGGAGGACAGTGCTACAGTGCTATTATTTTACTTCTAAAAATCAAAGAGAAGACACTGTAGTGTGTGATGATAGCTTTTGGGATAGGAGTTGCAAGAAATTTGAGTAGTTGACTGTAAGGCAGGTAATCTTCAGGATTTGTGATTGTCTTGCACTTAAAAATAGCTAAAGGAAATCTGGCCAGCTACTGGAATGCAGATGAAAACATTAACCTTTGTTCACCTGTAACCTGAAGAAGGGATAAGATGTAGCTACACCTCTATAACAAGGTGAAAAACCAAGTGTTGAAGACAGACAGTGTGCAGAGGGGGTAGTGTGTCTGGGAAGGCTTATAGACCTTTCAGTCCTCAAACTAAGGAGAGAAGGGTAGTATCCTGACTGGCACACAGCATGGCAGGCTTTGCTGTGCTGAAAGAACAATGTGAGACTACTCAGGACATGTGGTCAGGGAACTGAAGGTCAGTTTGGAAACCTTGGGAAAGAAAAGGGCTGTGACAACAGAAGAAAAAGGGATTGTCAGTTTATGTCATTATGTGTTGGGGGCAACAACGAGCTATGAAAAGTGTCTGAGGAGAGCAGGACCTGTTTTAGGAAGAGTGAAGTCAGCTGAAAGATAGTTGCGGCACACACACACAAAATTGAGCCACCTCTTTGGCCCCTTGTTTACTGCTTTGGTTTTAAAATGAAGGTATGAAATGATAGAGTACATGCCTAGCATGTACTTAGCTCTGGGTTCAACAGAGTGTAGCATGATGGTTCTCACAACAGTAGTTAACAAAACATTTTGAATGATTGGACTGGAGAGACAGTACAGTAGGTAGGGTGCTTGCCTGGCACAAGTCCAATCCAGGTTCTATCCTTGGCACCATAGATGGTCCCCTGAGCACAGAGCCAGGAGTAAGCCCTGAACACCATCAGGTATGCTCCTCCGATTTTTTTAAGTATGATTTGATTTAGGACAGAAAATATTTTATTAGATGTGTAAATAAAGTTGTAGAAACTTCGTAAAATCTTTTGTTGCTTGGGGCCATACCTGGCAGTGCTCAGGGCTTATTTCTGGTCCTGAGATTAGTAGTGCCTGGTGGTGCTCTGGGAACTCTAAGGGGGACAGGATCAAACCCTGATCAGTTTGTGCAAGATAGATTTTACCCTACCTGCTGTACTATCTCTCTGGCCTCAAAACTTTGTAAAATTTTACATTGGGCATAGTTGTTGGAATGGGATCAGAAATAGTAGTGAAATAGTTATACCTCCTTGCTCCACATAAAGTAGGACTTTGATAGGTCCAAATTTATAGTGATAGTTGGGTGCTGAATTTTCCAATTTTTTCTTTTTTTTATTTTATTGAATCCTGTGAGATATAGTTACAAGCTTTCATGTTTGAATTACAATTACGCAGTGATCAAACACCCATCCCTCTACCAGTGCACATACTGCTGAGATACTGAGAGATACTGAGATACTGAGAGGTTATCATGCTTTCTCTTTTATCTACTTTCAGCACACATCTCCCATCCGTACCGATTCCTCTAACCATCATTTTCTTAGTGATTCCTTCTCTATTCCAACTGCCTTCTCCATCCACCTCAAGCCCCCCCCCCCCGCTCATGAGGCAGGCTTCCAGCTATGGAGCAGTGTTCCTGGCCCTGGTATCTACTGTCCTTGGGTGTCAGCCTCATGTTATTTTATACTCCACAAAAGGACACTGAATTTTTAAAGAATGATCTGCATTTCTTAATTTGGCAATGATAGAAATATTTTTCAAAAAAATACAGACTACTTGATGAGGGAAGAAGTAGCTAATTGGTAGCACACGTGCCTTGCATATAGGAGGGCTTGGGTTCAATTCCTGGCACCATAAAAATTAACTTTTTTAAATATGCAGGAAATGAAAAAAGTTTTCCTGAGATACAGTATCAGGATTTGCAGCTTGGACTACTCATGTATTTGTGTGGTCCGTGCCCTTCACCAGGAGAGCAAAAGGGAACTGTGACCATGTTCACATGCTGAACCAAGCCGTGTGTCCTGGCACTGGCCTCCCAGAAACACAGGAACTTTTAGTTCACCCAGTAGGAATACTCTTTTGTAGTTAGTTGGCAGGGAGAGGTGTGTGTGTGTTGGGGAGACACCTTTGGCTCAAAGTCTCCATATGTGTTACTAAGAACTTGGAACCCAGTACTGTGAAATTTTTTCAGCAGAAGTTAGACTCTGAGGTCATTTGATGATTAAAATGTTACTAGATGTTAGCTTGTAAAAATTCTATGGGTTATAAAACGTAGGCCTACTGCCATAAATTCAGATTAAATAGTACAACTGTTCAAACTAGCAGAAGTGTATGTGTCTCTTAGTTATTTTATAGGAGCTGGTATTGTGGGTAATTGTGAATCAATTCTTGGGGCTTTATATCTGGGAAAAAATATTTATGATAGAGACTGACTTCCTTCCTGAGATTATGTGTAGTGTAATGTTAAAAATTTATTCAGAATCAAGCTATGTAAGGCATCTGAAACTAGTTTATAAGAGATTTGGTGATTTTTATAGAAAGAATATTAAATTGAAAGTTAGAAAACCCAGATTCCAGCTCTTACTACCCCACTAATTCACTGCCCAGTTTCTGTATGTGCAGGGTGACAGAAGTGCACCAAAAATAAGATCTCTTTCCATTCCAGCATGTTGTGATTTAAAAGCTACATAATATTTTGGGCCAGATTCTTAACTGTTATTAAATATGTTGATAATTGTTTTAAACCATTTCAGTCAAATAGTAAATTTTCATACTCATTCTTGTTTTTTCAGAAACTCTGTGAAGGCATATTTAAAGTCCTAGTGAAGGACATCCCAACAACATGTCAAGTGTCCTGCCTGGAAGTTCTCCGCATTCTCTCTAGAGACAAAAAGGTTTTAGTTCCTGTAACAACCAAGGAAAATATGCAGATACTATTGCGACTAGCCAAGCTCAATGAGTCGGATGATTCTTTGGAGAAGGTGTCAGAGTTCCCGGTTATTGTGGAGTCATTGAAATGTCTGTGTAACATAGTGTTCAATAGTCAGATGGCACAGCAGCTCAGTCTGGAACTTAACCTTGCTGCAAAGCTTTGTAACCTCCTGAGAAAGTGCAAGGACCGAAAGTTTATCAATGACATTAAGTGCTTTGACTTGCGCTTGCTCTTCCTCTTGTCACTTTTGCACACCGACATCAGGTCACAATTGCGCTACGAGCTCCAGGGACTACCGCTGCTAACCCAGATCTTGGAAAGTGCCTTTAGCATCAAGTGGACTGATGAGTATGAATCGTCCATAGATCATAATGGACCGCCTCTCTCAGCTCAGGAGACAGACTGTGCCATTGAGGCCCTCAAAGCTCTCTTCAATGTGACAGTAGACAGTTGGAAAGTGCATAAAGAGGTAAGACTGGGGAAACTCATATATACCTGAAATTAAATTGGTCTGGGCACCCAACAATCTACCTGCAAGGGAGTAACGCTTAATATTGCTGAGTCTGGAGATGGGAAAAGTTTCCAAGTTATCTACTTATTGGTTGTGAATCAGGATACTTTCCTTAAGCATTCCAAGTCTCATTCTTTCTTTTATGACACTTAGCAGAAGAATAGAGTGAAGTTTTATAGATGATAAACTCAGTTTCTTTTCTGAGTTGTACTGCTCTTTCAACAACAAGGATTAAGTGATTTGAAGAGCAATAAAAAATGTAGTTCATAAAAGTATAGGCATTTGCAGTGGCTGTTACTGTAAAGAAAAGTTAAGATAGGGGCCAGAGTCATAATACAATGGATAGGGCATTTGTGTTTCAGGCGGCTGACCCAGGTTTAGTCTCCAGCACCCCATATGGTCCCCTGAACACCACCATGAGTGATCTCTGAGCATAGAGTCAGGATAAGTCCTGAGTTTCTCCAAGTGTGCTCCCAACCCCTCCCCCCCAAAAAAAAAACAAAGATAAATCAAGCTTATTGAAGTCGATTAATCAAAATTGATGTTTGCTGTGAGAGGAAAAGATGCTATGTGTTTCATTTATCATCCCAATCTTGTAGAGTGTTCTTTTATAGTATTAGATAACAATCAGAGGGGTAGGACTACAACTAGATATCTGTGCTTGTACATAGTCCCAGAAAACAGCATAATTATACCAGAATGTGGGAAAGACCATTTTATATCACTTGACTTACTTGGATTCTAAAATCCTTTTCTGTGGTCTGGACCTTCTAGCAACCCAAAGTGAAGCAGATTTGATAGTTTATAATTAAATATCCACAAGAACGATATGCTAATAAACAAGAAACTTAGTATAAGGAAATCACCAGTTTTAAGTGAAGTGGACATCAACTCTTTTCCTTTCTTCTAGACTTATGGCAGAGGAAGCCCAGGGCCTGTTGGCTTCATACCCCAGTATTAAGGATGAGCTCTGGAGGACCATCCATAGGTTTAGCAGACAGCTCAGGAAACCCCGCTACTTTTCCATCTTCCCACCCCCTGCCTCCCAGCTCTGTGACAGGGCCTCTGGGGGACAACTCCCCACCTCCTCATACACTCCCTCGAAGTAAAACTAAAACAAACTAAACCCTCTATCTTTACTTTTAAATAACTGGTGAAACCCAGCCCCTGCCTTTAAAAAAAAGAAAGGTGGTTTTGTTGCCAGAGCAAATTATCTTTTCTGATAATTTACTTTAAGACATAGCTAATTTTTTGCTGTGTGGATTTGAAGCAGTCCTCACCATGAATAAAAATCTGTTTTTGCCAGAAGCCTACTGTGAATGGATTATCCAAGTGCAGTACAGTGGGAGTATGCAGGCATCTGAGTTCTAAAGTGCAAATAGGTCTATATTTTGAAGCCAAATATTTGAAGCTAGTCCTAACAGCTGTTCTGGATGACTGTAGTATGGTCAGTTTTTCCTGGGACTTGGCAGGAGAAGATGTGGAAAGCCCACATGCTCCATTTATGCTTTAAAACCAAATATTTGGAAATATTTAAAATGTTATGTTTCTATGCTTATTTGGTACCTTGTATGGTTATTTTTTCTACACTGTTTGTTTTGGTGTTTTTAGGTCCGCCGTTTAGTTGCTTTGAGCTCTTCTAAGACTATTATTTTGCTATTGTTGGAGTTTTTATTTAAATTATACTTAGAATATTTGTTTATGTTGTTAAAATAATCTGACAAAAAGATTTATAATTCGGTGACTACACTTCAGTATATGTGTGGGATAATGTAGTATCAGTAAGTTAAATTAACTAAAAAATAAGTATTCTGTAGGTAGTAGTGAAGAAGAAACTCTAATAGTATTGAGGTGGGAAATGCTGATTTTGTGTTAATCAATGTTTCTTCTCCAAAAAATGATTGAGAAAGCATCAGTAGCACTTAAGTAGGCATCTCCCCAGACCCATTACCTCCTCTACAAGATGGATCAATTGATCAGCCATTATAAAATGTGCCTAATCAATTTGATTTTGGCTGGTATTTAAATTATGAGAAATTTAAGAATTTAAGAAAGTTAAGCCAGGAGTAAACCCCTGAGCATCTCCAAGTGTGACCAAAAAGCCTAAATAAGTAAAAAAATAATTTTAAAAGGATAATCATAATATTTTTCTTTTCTGTGAAAATGACACATGCTTATTGTAGAAGATACAGCCCCAAAAACACTAATAAGCAACAAAAAAATACAAATTGCCTATTACTCTCAACTGAAAGATAAGTATTAGCCAGGACTGGAGAGATAGTACAATGGGTAACGTGCTTGCCTTACACAAACCTAACCCTGGTTCAGTCCCCAGTATCCTATATGGTCCTGAGCACCACCAGTAGTAACTCTTTTATTTATTTATTTATTTTGAGGCCTGTGTCACTCTCTTCCAGGAGTTTTATTTGAGTCTCTGGATCTTGGCCATTGAGGAGATTATATGGCATCAGGGGCAGTTTGTAGATGTGACTGCCAAGCTGCTGGTCAACTTGGGAGATGAGGGAAGGATGCCATTCCTGCTCCAAGCCAGCTTGGAGATTTCAGCCACGAGTCCCTCATACCTGGGTTTTTCTGCTTATTCACTCATGTGTGAGGCTCGTTGGAGCCTGTGGAGAGCAGCTGTGAGCATGGCAGCAGTTGAGTTCTGGAGGTGTTTGGTTGCCGGGGCTCTGTTGGGGCAGGGAGGGCAACTCAACCCGCCCCCCCTCTGAGTTTCCCCATGAAAGAGCTTGGAGTGGGGATCTGGACGTGCTATGTTGCTCTCTGAGGAATAACTCTTGAGTGTAGTGTGAGGAATAAACCCTGGGCATCACAGATATGCCCCCCCCCCCCCGCAAAAGAAAAGAAAAGCATGCTTGCATTTTTATGCATGTCTTTTGGCCCATTCTCCCTTTATAATATAGAAATATAAACATGATATATAATATTTTTTACTAAAACAGTCACTTTATAATCTTGAAATTTTGGGGTGTTTGGGGGGAGTCTTTGGTTTTTCTTACAGTAAATTTCCTTAAAGAGAAATGGTTTTTAAAATGCATTCCTTGGGACCATAGAGTTTCTAAGTCTACTCTCTGCTAAAAAGCAGGCACTGTTCTGGGTTTTCCACCCTCACTTTAAGAAGGGTGCCTCTAGGGTGGGACAGATAGTACAGCAGATGGGGTACTTGCTTTGAATGCAGCCAGCTTGGGGTCAGTCTTCATATACTCTTACCCCGAGCCCCATTTGAAGTGATCCTTGAGCACAGAACCAAGAGTGAGTCCTAAGCACTGCAAATTGTGGTTCAGAAACCAAAATAAAATAGCAAAGGTGCATTTGCTTTTTACTATTGCTTTTCTTTACATCTAAATTATAACTGGATTTAATTTGGGAGATGGAGTTCTTATTCCCCTCCCCCCCACAGCTCCCCTGACAAGGCTTTGACAATCATTTTCTTTTCTTAATTTGTTAAAGCCAGGGAGGGCCACACACTGCTATGCTCAGGGCTTACTCCTTGCCACTACTTTCAGGAATCTCAGGTTGCCTGCATCAAGGTAAATACAGCCTTACAGCTATACTATTTCTTAGGCCCCATGGGTGATATATTCTTTTAAAGGAATAATTAAGCACAAAATAAAAGCATTTTAATTCAATTTATTTTTATTTATTTATTTTTTACTTATAAGTCTGGAGTGATAGCACAGCGGGTAGGGCATTTGCCTTGCATGCGGGGTTTGATTCCTCCGCCCCTCTTGGAGAGCTCGGCAAGCTACCGAGAGTGTCTTACCCGCACGGCAAAGCCTGGCAAGCTACCCGTGGCGTATTCAATGTGCCAAACACAGTAACAACAAGTCTCACAATGGAGACGAGCAAATCGATAAACATCGGAGGTTAGTGACAGTGACTTATAAGTATCTTAAATGCTAAAAATATTCATAGGAATTTATCAACATTAAACAAACCCCTGTGTGTAGATATCTGTTTGCCTCTTTGTTTTAATTGGATCACCATGAATTACAACATTACAAAGTTGTCATGATTAAGTTTCAGGCCTACCGTATTCAAGCACCAATCCCTTTACCAGTCTCCACTTCCCTCCACCAGTGTCCCCAGTTTTCCTCCTGCCCTCAGCCTGTCCCTATGGCAGGCACTTTTCCCCTCCATCATTATATTACTGTTCCCTCCCCTGACATCCCAACTTTTAACCCAGTGGCAAGCATCCTACTGAAGATCAGTTTTCATGCTCTTCATTTCTGTTGCCCTTTGGGCATTTGTTATTCCCCTACCATTTTTCTTTAGATCCCACATGTGAGAGTGATCATTCTGTGTCTGTCCTTCTCCTGCATCTTTAGGGATGCAGTGCTATTGGCTAAGCAAGTGGAAGCAAAGATAAACAAATGAAACTACGTTATAAGAAACTTCTATATCTCAGAGGAAATGGTAAAGAGAATACAAAGACTCCCCATAGACTCAGGGAAATTATTTACCCATTGGAGTAAAGGTTAATATCCAAGACAATTAAAGCACTGGTAGAACAGTCCCTCCCCCCCACCCCACCAAAAAAAAAAAATCCAACTCTATCAACAAGTGGGGAAAAGGGATGAGTGAAAACAACTTCAAAGAAAAAATACAGCCGGCCAAAACACAAATGAAAAAATGCTCTACACAATTCATCAGGGAAATGCAAATTAGAACAACAATGAGGTATGACCTCATACCACAGAGACTGGCATCAAAAAGAACAACCAGTGGGGATGTGAATGGGGGGAATGTCGACTGGTCCAGCTTTTTGTAGAAAATAGTGTGAACATTCCTCAAAAAACTTGGAATTGGGCTTCCATATGATCTAGCAGTTCCACTTGTTAGAATATACCCCAAGGGTTTAAGGGCACAGTTGTTTGCTATTTAAAATAATAATATGAATTTTCTTGTCAAATGTTATAAATTCCTGAGATTGCTGG